GCTGAGTGCCTCCGTACGGGGGAGTTCACGCCTTTGTAAGTTCCCGCGCTGGCGCTTGGTCTGAGGGGTGAGCACATGTATGCAATCCCTCACGTCCCAGGACCACAAAGAGAAACGTAACTCTCACTGAGAATGCGGCGCCACGGCTGATCACATTAACTGCTCTTGGATGGAGTGCTGGGCACAGAAGTTTGTTTGTTTTGAAGCCCATTCTGGGGCTTGAACTCGGGGCCTAGGTGCTGTCCCTTAGCCTTTTTTGCTCAAGTCTGGTGCCCTACCACTTAGAGCCACAGCTCAACTTCTGGCTCTTTTGGTGCTTATTGGAGATAAGACTCTGCTCAGGCCCGGCTCTACACCTTGATTCTCAGACCTCAGCCTCCTGAATAGCTAGGATTAGAGGAACGAGCCGCCGGGTGCTCAGCTACAAAAGGTAGTTTCATGATGAGAGAGAGAAACGTGACTCTAAAACTCCTCCGGCAAAGGGCGTGTGAGGAGGCTGCTCGGGGGGAGTGCGAGAGAAATTATTTTTACGCTGTTTCTTTATTCAACAGGTAACATGTCTCATCTGTCTCTCCCACATGCCTTTCTAGAAGGATCTAGAAAAATGAAACAGAAAATCCAGGAAGGGAGGTCCTGATTTGAGTATGACATACGCGGTCAGCAGTTAACCACTTAAAATAAGAACTCGCATCCAGAGCCGGGATGGGTCATTCACAGGAAATCCAGCTGGAAGACAGGAGTGGAGGCAGAGTCCGGCTGCTCCTCCCGGCTCCGGTAGGCATCTACCTCCCGGGTTTGCCTCTGCAGGAAGAAAGGGTGTTTTTGACAGAAATGCAGACACACACAAGGCGCAGTGACAACAGAGAGAAACTATGGTTAACTCTGTAGTTACAAAACTCAAGCGAGACAAAGCATGACCCGCCTCGGCTCCGCTGGCCTGAGCACAGGGGATTTGCTAGTTTGATCATATTTGCACAGCAAAAGCCAACTCAGCTAGCCAAGGGAGCCACATGTTATGGTTCTATAACTAGCCGGCAGTGAGACCGTTTGACCATCTTCACAGTGTCTCCATCATGTTTGCACTCGTGTGTGAGGATACAGCCAGTGTGCAGAGCATGTATTTCTCCTTTCAGTAACTGCGCAGGAAACAGAAAATCCATTTGACAGCCTGTCAGACCAGGGGAAGGATGCGTCGCTAAAACTTAGAACTAAGCTTTAGCTAGAGTATGTCATAAAGGAAGGGAAGAATATTTCCCTGAGCACCCCCTCTGGGAGACACAGGTGGTAGGATCATGTAGAGCTCCTGCGTGAGGTGTGCTGGCAGCGGGCAGTTCTACTTAGATTATCTGTGTTTACCTTAGCCTTGACATGAGTGAGCAGAGCAAAGATGAGGACATTAAGAACTCTCAATGTAATTTTAAATACAGTTTGCCTAGAGTGGTTTTGTTTTAAAAAAAATGTTCTCTACTGATATATACAGACAGGCTCATACATAACACTTGTCAGGTGTTAATAGTCTAATAGTAAAACTTTCATAAGAAAAGGAAAGGCATTCATAAGTCATTTAAGAAAAAAATACAGATGGCCATTTACAGTGATGCTTACCTTATTAGTTAGCAGACGCAGTTAACTTAAAAGAAAATGCAATCTATCGGAGAAAGGGCCTGAGCCCCGATGTCTTCCACACCAGCTCGTACCAAACAAGAACTAATATTGATCCTTCCTAAGCCTTGCAAGAAATGGAAGAGGAAAGTATAATTCTGAACTCGCTTTAGAAGGCCAGTGCTGTCCTGATGCCAAAGCTGGAGAAGGAAGGGCAGTAGAGGAAGGTAACAGGACAGATTTCCCAATGACAATGAACATGAAAATCCCAAGAAGAGAATTGCAAACAAATTCAATAGCATGGAGGATATAGCTCAGGGCAGAGTTTGCCTAGCATGTGCAGTGTCCTGGGTTCTGGCAGGCCCAGCACTGGAGGAAAAAAAAAATCAGAAGCAAATTACAGGGATCACTCATTATGAGCAAATGGGGTTTATTCCTGGGATGTAAGAAAGTTCCAGCACATACACACCAGTGAGTGTGATAAACCAAATACGATGAAAGTCAAAACCATATGATCTTCATCTGCAGAGAAAGGATTTGACAAAATTCAACCTCCTCAACCAGGTGCCGATGGCTCATGCCTATGATCACAGATACTCAGGAAGCTGAGACTTGGAAGATTAATATTCCATGATAACCAGGGCAGAAAAGTCCATGAGATTCTACCTCTAATTAACCAGCACGAAGACAGGGCTGGAGATGTGGCTCAAGTGGTAGAGAACCAGCTGTGAGCAAGAGAGCCAAGAGAAGATAAAATCCAGAGTTTACCACCAAAAAAAAAAAAAAATGAAAGAAAGAAAGCTCCTTTCAGGATAAACACTCAACAAATTAGATATGAAGGATGTACCACAACATGACAAAGGCTGCAAAGGGGGACAGCTCCCCAGCTGGCATTGTCATCAGTGGTAGACGAGATCGGGCGTGTTCAAGGTGGTATTGCCGTAGACTGTCGTCAGTGGTAGAGACGAAAGCTTCTCTTCCAAGATTAGAAGCAAGACCAGGTACTTACTATGCTTCTGCTCAGTATCATACTGGAAGTCCTAGCGGAGCAAGGGGTGGGGTGTGTGTGTGCATGTATGTGTATATGTGTGTGCATCTGTGTGTGAGTTTCAAGCTTCCAAACAGGAAAGGGAGAAGTGAAGTTGTTGGCTACAGACATGATCTAGATGTAGAAAACCCCGAGAGTCCATCAAGAAGCATCCAGAACAGACAGATTCAGTTGTGGGACACAAAACCAATATACAAACCAGTCGTGTGTCCATACACTAACAATGAACTATCCAGGGAAACAATTCCATTTATAATAATATTTTTAAAAACCCTCAAATACCTAGAGTAAATTTAATGAAGTAGGAGAACCTGCACTTTGAAAACTTGAGGGCTTCCTGCCCTCCCTGGGGTGGGCAGCTTTGGCCACTATCATCCGCGGCCTTGATCTCCACAGGCCCAGGACCAGCACACCCCAAGATGATGGCCTGGAACGTCTGAGACCAGGCCTTAGTCTCCCCTCACTTCCGTTGCCCTCTCTGTGGCGAGCTGTGTGTTCATCACGCACATCCAAGCGAGGCCCGCACGCTCAGGTGGACTTGAGCGGCGTCCACCATGGCCAAGCAAGGACACAACCTGTCCAGCCGTGGCCAGCGGAGGAGGGAAACATGGAGACTGCACGCGATGGAATACAAGGAAAGAATGAAGTTCTGTCACATGCCACCCTGTGGGCCACTGGCAGGGCATCAGGCTGTGTGAAATAAGCCAGACAAATGAGCCCTGACCTCCCGCCCATGTGGGATCTAAGGCCGTCCCATGCTGCATATAGGCCTGAAGGGTGACCCAGCGGCTTCCGGGTCTGGGGGGGGGGGAGGGAGGGTGTTGTCAGGTTTCAGTCAGACACACCAAGGTCTGTTCATAGTGTGGTGACCGCTATTTGCTTACACAAATTGGCAGAGATAAAGAAGGCTTAATCCCAAAGGTTGAGGCGGATATAAGGAGCGACTTGGGGGAAGGGAACACAGCCTTTGGAGTAAGGAAATTCTTAGAAAAATCTGAGGGTTTTTGCTCTTTGAGGCTGGTCGTCTACTGTCAGGAAGCCACCCCAAAGAAACAATCAGAGAATATTGGTACTGTGTATAAGAACAGGCATTACACTGGTACTTAGACCAGAAGAAATCCTGAAAACAAGGTGATGTCTAGTCCTGCAGGAATGCCTGAAACTTTGGGCTACTCAGGATCCAGTGTTACGCAATCACTGAACTCGCACTGGGGCCAGGTGCCCGTGACTCATGCCTGTAATCTTAGCTACTCTGGAGCTGTGATCTGAAGTTTGAGGCCAGCCAGAGCAGAGAAGTCTGTGAAACTCTTGTCCCCCAAAGTAACAAAAAGGCTGGGCTGGAGGCATGGCTCACATGGTAAAGCACCAGCCAAGCAAGCAGAAAGACTACTCGAGATGGGAAGTTTTAGTGATAGGAGCCGACCACTCTGTGTTGAATGCTGATGTAATAGATCCACAGAGTAATCCATGTATCTGGACGGATAGCATGTTAGGGTGCTTACCTAGCATGTGTGAGGCCCTGAGTTCTACCCCTAACAGCAGCAGCACTACCACCATTGTCACAGTAATTTCATATTTCTCTCTTTTCCAAGTACAGCCTCACACCTGGGCTGTCTGTACACATGTCCTCCGTAAGATCCGCGTCCCTGCGCGACTTCCCCGCAGGCTGAGGCTGGGGGCCTCACTCCGGGACCATGCCAGGGCTTCCCTGCCCATCTTGCCCCAGACGCCTCTTGGATTCTTCATTTCAATCATGCAGAACATCCTTGGGATCTCCCCGAGCATGGCGCGTTGGTTCTTGTTTCTGCATCTCCCCACATGCTGGTCCGCCCCGGGAATGCCCTGGGCTGTATCGCAGGAGTAGAGGAGTTCGTTCCTTCAGGGAGAAGATTCCTAAGGACAAGACAGAGGCCCGAGTTCTGGGGCAGGGAGGGGGAGATTCCCCAGTGGGAATAGGACTCAGGAATCAGATGGGAATGAGGTAGAGGGGCAGAGGAGGCACCGGGCACCGAGAACGCCTTCCAGTGAATCGCTGAGCCCTGAAATGCCACCCGTGCCCTGCAGGCAGACTCCCTAAGGTGGTGGAGATGTTCGTATTTTCATCTAAACCGGCTCAGTGGAGGGAATGAAAGAACGCGGGCGCGCCCGTCCTGTGGCTTCTCTCCCCGACGCCTCCCCTGGCCGGCCCCCATCACACTTCGTCTAAATAGGAGTTTTCCACCTTCTGTCCACATCAGCATGATCTTTATTTACGGCTGGTAGGGGTCAGTCCGCCAGGCCCGTGTAGACAGAGCTGGCCAGCCGGGGGCCGCTGCGGGCGCCCGCGGGCCGGCCACCCCGGGCGGGCGAGATGGCTCCGGTGGCTGCCTGGGAGGCGGTGCCCGCACATCCGCGCTCACCCCAACCGCCAGCCACAGGAGAGCTGGTCCGCTCGCAGTGTCCCCAGGGGGAGAGGCCTTCTGTCCCGTCCCCAGGTGCTGTTCCCCTGCGCCACCAGAAAACCAGCACGAGGTCCTTACTGCGACCACTCGCTGGCCGCGTCACTCCACACCGCTGCACACAAGCGGGGACACGCGGAGGCCGGGACCGGAGTGCAGGGCCGCCCGCGCGCCCTGCGCCGCCCGCCCGCGCGCCCTGCGCCTGCCGCCCGCCCGTGCGCCCTGTGCCTGCGGCCCGCGCGCCCTGCGCCTGCCGCCCGCCCTGCGCCTGCTGCCCGCCCTGTGCCTGCTGCCCGCCCCGCGCGCCCTGTGCCTGCGGCCCGCGCGCCCTGCGCCTGCCGCCCGCCCGCGCGCCCTGTGCCTGCGGCCCTCGTGCCCTGCGCCGCCCGCCCGCCCTGCGCCTGCTGCCCGCGCGCCCTGTGCCTGCCGCCCGCGCGCCCTGCGCCGCCCACGTGCCCTGTGCCTGCCGCCCGCGTGCCCTGCGCCTGCCGCCCGCGCGCCCTGCGCCGCCCGCCCACGCGCCCTGTGCCTGCTGCCCGCTCTGCGCCTGCCGCCCGCCCGCGCGCCCTGCGCCTGCCTCCCGCCCGCGCGCCCTGCGCCTGCCGCCCACCCGCCCTGCGCCTGCCGCCCGCGTGCCCTGCGCCGCCCGCCCGCCCTGCCCCGCCCGCCCGCCCGCCCTGCGCCTGCCGCCCGCGCGCCCTGTGCCTGCCGCCCGCGTGCCCTGCGCCGCCCGCCCGCCCGCGCGCCCTGCGCCTGCTGCCCGCCCGCGTGCCCTGCGCCGCCCGCCCGCGTGCCCTGCGCCTGCCGCCCGCGTGCCCTGCGCCTGCCGCCCGCCCGCCCGCCCGCGTGCCCTGCGCCTGCCGCCCACGCGCCCTGCGCCTGCTGCCCGCCCGCGTGCCCTGCGCCGCCCGCCCGCGTGCCCTGCGCCCTGCCGCCCGCGTGCCCTGCGCCTGCCGCCCGCACCGCCCCGCCCGCGTGCCCTGCGCCGCCCGCCCACGCGCCCTGTGCCTGCTGCCCGCCCGCCCTGCGCCTGCCGCCCGCCCGCGCGCCCTGTGCCTGCGGCCCTCGTGCCCTGCGCCGCCCGCCCGCCCTGCGCCTGCTGCCCGCCCGCCCCGCGCGCCCTGTGCCTGCGGCCCTCGTGCCCTGCGCCGCCCGCCCGCCCTGCGCCTGCTGCCCGCGCGCCCTGTGCCTGCCGCCCGCGCGCCCTGCGCCGCCCACGTGCCCTGTGCCTGCCGCCCGCGTGCCCTGCGCCTGCCGCCCGCGCGCCCTGCGCCGCCCGCCCACGCGCCCTGTGCCTGCTGCCCGCTCTGCGCCTGCCGCCCGCCCGCGTGCCCTGCGCCTGCCTCCCGCCCCGCGCGCCCTGCGCCTGCCGCCCGCCCCGCGCGCCCTGCGCCTGCCTCCCGCCCGCCCTGCGCCTGCCGCCCGCGTGCCCTGCGCCGCCCGCCCGCCCTGCGCCGCCCGCCCGCCCGCCCTGCGCCTGCCGCCCGCGCGCCCTGTGCCTGCCGCCCGCGTGCCCTGCGCCGCCCGCCCCGCCCGCGCGCCCTGCGCCTGCTGCCCGCCCGCGTGCCCTGCGCCGCCCGCCCGCGTGCCCTGCGCCTGCCGCCCGCGTGCCCTGCGCCTGCCGCCCGCCCGCCCGCCCGCGTGCCCTGCGCCTGCCGCCCACGCGCCCTGCGCCTGCTGCCCGCCCGCGTGCCCTGCGCCGCCCGCCCGCGTGCCCTGCGCCTGCCGCCCGCGTGCCCTGCGCCTGCCGCCCCGCCCGCCCGCCCGCGTGCCCTGCGCCGCCCGCCCACGCGCCCTGTGCCTGCTGCCCGCCCGCCCTGCGCCTGCCGCCCGCCCCGCGCGCCCTGCGCCGCCCGCCCGCCCGCGCGCCCTGCGCCTGCCGCCCGCCCGCGCGCCCGCCCGCGCGCCCTGCGACTGCGCCACAGCCCGTCAACACCCAGCGCCAGCCCGCGTCTGTGCTCTTCGCACACTGATTTGGTGAAATCCCCTCGTGTATCTTACACACCTTACACTGGCCACCCTCGGCACAGATCGCCCGTGAGCGTCTTTTCTATCAGGAGTCGGCAAGCTTCTAGAAGAGGCCGCAGATGTGAACCAGATAACCATCAGCTCAGACTTAGCTGACTGCAGTCGTGTAGAGGACACTGTGCTAGAAAGATCCTTCAGGAGGAAAAAGAAATTAAAGGCATGAGAGGTGTGGATGCCCTGTCACTTCCTGGTGTCCTCAGTCACTCAAAACAAAACTGTTTCCACCTTTCTTAACGCTGGGTTAAAAGGCTAGCCCTGAAATTTCCTGCTTAATTTTGGTGGCCAAAATTTCAAGGACTAAAGTATATGGAAGAATATATTTATAGAGAAGTACAATCAAGTGCTTCTCAAAAAAAAATTCTAGGCAGTACTGGACTTTGAACTCAGGGCTTTGTGTTTGAGTGTACTTTTAAGGAAACCAATGAAATGCTATGTGATAACAAATTACTCAAGTTTAATTTCATCAAGTAGGAGGAAAGGATCAAACATTTTGATTGGCTGAGTACATTGATGCATGTCTGTAATTCCAGCCATGCAGGAGGCTGAGGCAGGAAGACCATGAGTTCAAAGTCAACATGGACTGGTTTATATAACAAAACTTGGCCCCAAATACACACACATACACACTACACACACATACACATATACACGCACACATACACACACACATATAAACACATACATACACATACACACACATACATACACACACCCTCATATACTGAGGTTTGAACTCAGGGCCTTGCTTGGGCAACAGCCTGACTTTTTTTTCTGGTTATTTTAGAGATAGAGTCTTGTAGGCTTTTCTGTCTGGAATGGCTTTGAACCTTGATCCTGTGGATCGCAGCCTCTTGAATATCTAGGATTACAAGTATGAGTCACCAGGGCTCCGCTTGAAGAATTTTTTAAACTTGCCAATTATCTGCACTAGCGAGGGAAGAGTGATATTGTAGATTTTGGATTTATTTGCTTTTCTGTCACCGCTTTCTCCAGCTAGATAGTCACTCATGTTTTTCCTCTACTGAATGCTTCTTTAAAATAGCCTGTGTATGCCTTGCGTGAAAAACACAGTATAGCTTCTGCCCTGCTGGTCCCTGATTTCTTTGCAATGATGTTTTGTCTTGCTGGAGGCAGCCTTGGGAGGGTGTCTAAGAGAGGACTTAGGTAAACGGCTCTTTTAAAACATAAACCGGCTGTTGAGTACAGATGAGTCTATACAATCCTTATACATAGTGTAGACACCATGTAATGATTACCACAAGCAAATTAGTTAATAAGCCAAGCACAGCTACAACTGTAATTCCAGCTGCTCAAGACTAAGACAGGAGAACTCTGGGTTCGAGGCCAGCCTGGTCAACATCATGAGAACCCTGTCTCAAAATAAATGAAACAAAGCAAAACAAATTAATTAGCACACCCCTCTCCTGCTCTGCTCATCAGACCTCCAGATCTCATTCATTTATAATCCAAAGTTTGCCCCCTTTTGCCCAACATACCCTACTCCACCCCCCACTCCCCTGGAGACCACATTTCTTCCTTTGCTTCTGTGATGTACTTTCTTTTAGATTCCATATATAAGAGAGCATATCATGTTTTTGTTGTTGTGTGTCTGATTTACTTTGCTTTGTGTAATATCTTCTAGATTCATCCATCTTATCTAAAATGGAAGGTTTTTCATCTTTTTATGGCTGAATAATATTCCCCTGAAGTAGCAACCACTCCTGTTAGCGTGACTGTTAGCAAAAAGACCCGAGCCAAGACCTGTCAGGGAGGGAGGAGAGGAAAGAAAACTCTTGCCCACTATTGGGACAGCCATTGAAAAAAACAAAAGCAATTACACAGGGAATATCTGCAAAGGAATTGAAGTCGGATGCTAATTGGCTATCTGCATTCTCATATCCACGGCTATCTGTAGGGTCTGAGAAAGGGGCTCATCCTCGCCCATCAACGAATGATAAACAGGTACAAACAGCTCATTCTCTATGCTTCCTGAAGAACATCCGGACAACGCTCTCTCATGATAACATTTTAACAGAAACTAGTAATGCATGGGATGTCTTTTTTCTTTCAAAGCATGTACAGTAAACTGTTATTTGCTTAAGGTTTATGGGGTAGGTCATGTAGGCAGGCTTTTACAAAGCTGTTTTTTCCCCTCATCTTAGTCAATATTCTTGCAATTTGGGTGCCTGCCAGTAACTAAGAGGCGGGGCCTTGTCTTCTGGCTTTATAGGGTAATCAGCTAGGTTTGCCTCGGCCGTGTACAGGACTGGAAACAGGGACAGCCCATGGCCTCGCCAGCGATGATTTTCTTATTTCAGATCATTCACAACTCCACACCTAGGCATTTAGCTGAGAGAAGTGAAAACATACCTCCACCTAAAAAATGTGTACACTGAAGTTCATACTCACTTTGTTCACCAGATTCAAAAGCAAACCCAGATGTGTGTCAGGTGACAGGAGTCACAGGTGACAGGTGTGTCCGTCAGCTTCCGGTCCCTGTAGAAAGTAGGTGGAGATTTTAGCTGTGGTTGGTGGTTTCTGTTGTTTTGGGGGACTGTCACAGCAAGGTGCCATTACCTCTTGGCCAGGAAGTGAGAGACAGGAAGAGACGGGGGGGGGGGGGGGGGGGGGGGGGGAGGTCCCAGTAATGGGGAGAATAGAGGAACCTGGATGTCACCTGACTCTTCAGGGAGGGAGTTTGGAAGTTGTTCTCATTGTCCGCATCTGTCAGACGGAGAGAATCCCCACCTCATTGCTCTGCATGCTGAAGATGTAAGCCGGTACATAATGCTTGAATGGTGCCTTCAAATGCTCAGTAAGTGTTAGCTATTAGTGAGTGAGTCATACTTCCAAATATTTTGTTTTAAATGACAGATCTATTCAGAAATAAACACTAAGCTGAGTGCCAGTGGCTCACACCTGTAATCCTAACTACTTAGGAGTCTGAGATCTGGGGATTGCAGTTCGAAGCCAACCCGGGAAGACAATTCCAAGAGACTCTTATCTCCAGTTAACCAGCAAAACGCCAGAAGTGGAGATGTGGTTCGAGTGGTAGAGTGCCAACCTTGAGTGAAAAAGCTAAGCAAGAATGAGTCCCTGAGTTCAAACCCATTCCAGCACTCCCCCCCCCAAAAAAAAAAGAAGGAAAGAAGAGAAGGAGGGAACATGAGAGGGAAGAAGGAAGGAGGAAAAGAAAAAGGAAGCAGAAAAAAAAAGAAAGCAGTATTATGCAGCTATGAAGCTAATTCATGAGAGGTGAAGCGCTCGCCTCTGTGAGTTACAGCACGCGCTCCTCACACAGGTGACAGGGACTTGAGTTCATCAGCGCGTTTTTCCTGCACTAAAGCCGTCAGCACGGATGGACGAGGGGACCAGAAGGAAGTGAAGACCCAGGGGAGGAGGGAGAGGAGGCTGGAGCTTTGTTTTGAATTCAGAACTAGTAGGGAACAAATAGACGCCAAGTCTGCCGTTTCCTCTCACAGAGCTTGAAGCAAACTCGTTTGAATGACAGTTTCTGCACTTTTACTCCGGTACACGGGGCCATTAAAATGTCAACAGGAAATCGTGCCAGGGAAGAAAGGTGGCAAGGAAACTCTAAGTGCAATTAGTTCCAGACAGACAAGCACAGCTCACAGACAGACAGACAAGCACAGCTCACAGACATTTCATGAACACAGACACCCCTCAGTCAGCCAACACCGAGTGCCCCGTGGCATCTGACTTCCATGAACACCGAAGCATCTCAAAGACGACACGAGACATGCTCACACCAAGCAATGATGCACCGTCTACCTGTAGTTCACACTTCACCAGGCACCTACATTTTGATTTGCCACCTTTGGCAACTGTACTTTTAAGGATAACGATGTGTTTCAACACCTAGGATAATTTTTTTCTAAAGTAATCATAAGAAACTTCAAAAAATTGGAAGTGGCGCTGTAGCTCAAGTGGTAGAGCGCTCGCCTTGAACTGAAGAGCTGAGGGACAGCGCCCAGGCCCAGAGTTCAGGCCCCAGGACGGACAAAAAAAAAAAAAAAAAGAAACTTCAAAAAATTATCAGAAGCCCCTTTGAATACCTGATTCTTTCCTTCCTTCCTTCCTTCCTTCCTTCCTTCCTTCCTTCCTTCCTTCCTTCCTTCCTTCCTACCTTCCTTCCTTCCTTCCTTCCTTCCTACCTCTACCTCCCTCTTTCTTTCTTTCTTTCTTTCTTTCTCTTATACTGGGGCTTGAACTCAGGGCCTGGGTGCCATCCCTGAACTTTTTGTGCTCAAGACTAGCACTCTACCACTTGAGCCACAGCACCACTTGCAGCCTGCCTGCCTGCCTGCCTGCCTGCCTGCCTTCCTTCCTTCCTTCCTTCCTTCCTTCCTTCCTTCCTTCCTTCCTTCCTTTCTTTCTTTCTCCCTTCCTCCTTTCCTCCCTCCCTCCCTTCCTCCCTCCCTTCCTTCTCTTCCTCCCTCCCTCCTTCCTTCCTTTCTTTCTTTCTTTTCTCTCTCTTTCTCTCTTTCTTTCTTTGTGTTTAATTGGAGATAAGAGCCTCAGGGACTTTCCTGCCCTGGCTGGCTTCAAACTAAGATCCTCAAGTCTCAGCCTCCTAAGAAGCTAGGATTACAGGTGTGACTGATTCTTTTTTTTTTTTTAATGGCAATTCTGTAAGCTACAAGAAAAATGCTTCCTTTTGTCAGAGGTCATCCAAGTGTATGAAAAAAGAATCGGAGATTATCACTCACACCTTTAAAGAAATTAGAAATTCATTAGATTGCCAGCTTTTCCATTGAAGTTCGAGAATGAAGGGTTTTATAATAACTTAGAGGTTTTGACAAGCAAGGAAGACACAGGGAGTGGACGGAAGAGGAGAGAGCTCAGATGTGGAGGGAGGCATGCCGCCAGACATGGGAAGAAAAAGGCAAGAGCCCGCCCCAGGGCCACGCCTGTGACCAGTTCC